GAAGTGTAGGCACTGTAAGTTTTATTTTATTGTGGACATGCATATAGAAACCGATCAAAACTATTCTTCTTGAAACCGTATTTGCAGTGGTCTGTTTAAGAAGTATACCAGTCATATGAGTTGATGTGTGTTTATTTTTTTGCAGTTGGTCTAGAAAAGCAAGGACACAGTTGGTTTTTTTCCTAGAATTGGTAGACATTTATTTGGTAATAGGCTTATTTTGAGCCATTGTAATTTCCTCTTAGCTATTAGTTGGACAATGTTCTTTTCAATGATTTTGAAAAAATTATTAGCCAGTGGCTATGAATATTTTTATGGTAACAATTCAATTTAGTATATTTTTGCTTATTCGTACCGAAAGGCTTTAAATTGATGTGCAGCAAGATCACCATCCTTCGTTTTTGTTTCCCAGATTAATTAGAATGCTTAAAAATGCGTACAAGCCACAATGACAAATTTTTGGTCTAGACATCATTGCATGCATCTTAATGTCAGCTTTCAGAAAATGGAACCTGATTTCTTTTTATGGGATATATGGAAAGTAGTATTGTAGAATTTAGGCATCGCAAATTACCAATGTTCCTACTGAGCTTAAGCGTAACTGTTGCTTGCATAATCGTAAAACAGTATAAACTAGATCTCTGGAGTAACTTGATAATTTTGTTCCTTGTTGGCATTCTGGTATGGCTGCATGTGATTGTGTGCGGCCTCCGTTAACTTAACAACCCTTTCATAGAGAATGTGTAGTTCCATTATAGTAGAGATACGTTTTATATATTCAACTTGCTTCTAACAATCACCCTGCTTTAACTAATTTCGATGTGCTTGTGTTCTCTGTTTGTGTTCTTACTGTGAATAAGAACATTTGTGGAATAGGTTGTCAAGTTTGTCTCTCACAACCTTTTGCCTATTTACATTTTTGCAGGGGTCAATGTGTCTGGTGGTAGGGGTTTCTATTTGAAGGACGCCTGGCAAAGTGGAGTGGCAGCAAGCCGTAGAGAAAGCCCTGTCCCGGCCATAAACCATTGTTTATAGAATAATATATAGACTGATGGTTTATGAACTTTAAGACCCGTCTTAGTAGTGCAGTGTGGGCTTATCTATTTTTCTCTGTGTGAAATGACTAATCTCTGTGAGTATGTGAATTCGTGTTTCTTTCATTAGTTGATTTATTTTTTGTTTTATGATTTATTTTAGTTTTATGATTTATTTTTTTAAACGTCACCATAACGTTAGCACGGGCAATATACTATTGTGGAAAAGTTGAACTATGAAAAAAGTTCATTGTTTGATTGTTTCATGTGCATCTCCAAGATAAAGCCATGGTGTTAGCATAAACATTATACTAGTACCATTAATGCTCTATTCTTGGCGTCCCACATATACTACTATTTTTTTTCAATAAAAAAAGTAGTGTTCACATCATCTTTTCAACAAAGTTAGACCGTCTCCAACGATGCGACGCAGACGCAGAACTACGTCGTGCACAGTGTTTTGGCTCAAAAAATCAGCCTCCAACGGAAGACGCAAACACGCTACTCATTTTGCGTACCAGGCCAACGAGTAGGCAAATAAGGGTCTTCTCTCTCCACCGACGCAAATCGCTGGCACTGCTGCTCCGGCCGACGCGAGTCGCCGGTGGCTGTCTCCCACCGTGGAGGGGTCCGGCGGCTGGCACCAGCGCCGGCTGCCGGCGAAGCTGGACCGGACGAGCAGGCTCAGGCACACGGCGAACCCTGAGATCCCGTCCCTGCTGGCGCCCGCGCCAGCGCCACCGCCGCCATGCCGGCGCCGGTGCTGCTGCTGTCTGGCCGGCGACGGCGAGGGGAACCACCAGCTGCTGCTGGTGCCTCCGGGGGACTCAGGCTCCTCGTCCCCACTGCCGCTACTGCTCCCACAGCCCCCATCGGTGGCCTGGGCGCGCTGGGCGGCGAGCGCGAGGAGGCGGTCGCGGAGGCAGGGCGCGGGGTCGAGGATGGGAGCGACCGAGGCCGGGTGCCCAAGGTGGTGGGCTCGCCTGAGATTGGGATGGAGGCGAGCTCCATGGAGGATTGCGTCCGCTGTTGGAAACTAAAAGTTTGGGGTCACGCGCCTTTGTGCTGTTCGTGACCCAAACCAGCTATGCGTCCTGTTTTTTGGTTCTGTCCGTTGGAGACAGTGTTACACATGCCGCAGCAGAGTATTTCGCCCTTAAACAAAGCAACAAACAGGACACCGGAACATGCGTTTCACGTGACGACGGGCGACGACAGTGTGATGTGGTGGGATGGTGGTGTGGTATACCTTTGTGTACGAACCGCATCAATAGGCCACCGATAGTAATTTGGGATAAAATTCCAATGCTGTTAGTCTGTGACCATAGACATAAAGGGGCGGAGGGCACCAGCAGTGTATGGAGACAAGATGTTCTTTTAAATGTGTCTTATGACAACGTTACGTGTCTAATAAGATGTCATCTGAGGTTCATCCCAAATGTCTAGAAACGGACATGTGTATCATAACTGGACCTGCCATTCTTTTCTCATATTTATGCGATCCACTTTCCTCCCAATTCGACCGCTCCAGCCGACCCACCACCACCTTCTTTTTTCCCCATGTCGCTTCAAGCAGTGCTCACTCCAACCATCCGCTTGCTTTGGCCCCATATTTCTCGTGTGCTGCGCCCATTCCACCCGAGGCGCCACCTCCTGTAGCATGTGCTCAAAGGTCACAGCGGCTAGGACGGGGGCACCGACATCGGAGAGAGCCACATCTCTTGCCTGTCCTCAGAGCCACAAAGCCTTCGTGCATCGGGCTAGCCTTGAACCCATCTGCAATAGGAGGAGGATGGTAGCGCCTTCCTCCTATGGCGGTATAAGAGAGAGAGGAGGAGGAGGATGAGAGTGGGTCCTACGAATAAAAGCAACTTCTTCATGGATTTGGCTACAAGGTGTATGGAACCAGGTCATGTACATGCATTTAATGTGTGGATCTGGGATAGAAACGCCGGATGCTCTTAGAGCATAGTCTTTAACTTACTTTCTGAATTCTCATTTGGAGAGCTATTTCATTAAAAACCATTTTATGTACTTCCACCTTTCAATACTTTATATCTTGTGTGCATTTTGAAGAGCTATCCCCATGATTGTGATGTTTGGAGATCTAATTGAAGAAGTTGTTGGAGGGCAACTCACATTAAAATCGTAAAGAGTTTGTGAAATTGGTATATGTTCTTGTGAAAATGGCTTCTACCTTCAATAGAAAAATACTCAACCTTAATAAAATATAAAAAAGTTCCATTTACTTATTTACAATGTACTATATATTTACTACCCACTAATAGTGTCCAATGAAGAGAACAGATATGAAATTTCTGTTATGTTAAACAAATGTTGTACTAGCCATTGATAGTGTCCAATAAAGAGAATAGATACATGAATCAACAAGAATAAAAAATTAAAAGGGAGAAAAAGAAAAATAATAAAAAAACAGAAATTTTCAACGAAACTGAAAAAACGGCCCACAAGAAGCCCGTGCGTTTTTTTTTTCCCCGCCGTCACCTGCTTCCCCTTCCGTCCGCTGCATCTGCATTCCTCTTCCCTCCTCGTTCTGTCTCTCGCTCGCTACCCTCTCGCTCTCAGACGACTGTTGGGCCGCCGCCGCCCTAGGCCAGGTGCTGAGGCTTCCGTTGGTCTCTTCGCCGGCGACGAGCACCCACCAGGTACTCCCACCCCTTCTCTTCCCTTCCCTTATGCTGTGCGAAGCTGAGCACCGAAACCCTAACCTAAAGCTATTTAGCTATTTGACAAGCCTCCTAACTTCGAAGTTTTTGCAAAAATATTGGGTGTACATGTGTACACCCATGTCCCTGCTGATATGGATTGGCTTTTGGGGCTGCCTGCCCATATCGGTGAAACTAGTTGGCCTTTCGTGCTTCTGGATGAACCTTGTGTTTCCAATTGGGAATTATAGCGGCACGTATCCATGTATGATCAGTGCACACTATGTCTAGCTGTACTGTAAGTTTGTGGATTTCTGTAAGTTGCGCCCATGTGCTTCTGCTGACGTTGATGGAAGAAAATGGTGAAACCACTCATGTTTTCTCAAGTCATATGATTGAGGTTAAGAACGAAGAACTGTACATGATGTGAGATTGGCCAAGCAGCTGACATTAGTAGGATAGCTCGGGTTGGGTTTCTCAAGTGTTTCTGTACCGTACTAGTTCTATCTCCGTTTTTTGGCGGGATATTTGATTTTACTTTTGTTGGTAAATTCTGTTTGAATGTGGGGTCGTATTATCGAGTTGATTTCTGTAAAGATCAGGTAACTATTGTTTTAAAGAGATGGGAGATAGTTCAGAGCATTCCTTGTGGACAATGCTGATGGTTGATATTTGAAATACAATTGGCAACATTGAATTTGGTTGGTTTACTGTTGCTCGTGATAGTTACTAATGCTACTTAATTGTAGCGTCTTTAATTGAACCCCTATTATTGGAAGGCCATATCTTTCCACTAATCCGTGGAGTGTTATTTTCATTTTGGTTTGACTTTTGAGTTTTGAGAGGTTGCATACTTCCACAAATCGACAAAGTTGTTCCCATTCCAGATATTTTTAACCAGTCTTCGATTTCACATGCAAAAAAATGCTACTTCACCTAATGTTTGTTGCATATTACTTCACCTCAATGCTCTGCAGGGTTGGTTGGATCAGCGATATTTTACTGATTGTTGGGACCATTTTAGCTGTTGACCTGTTGTAACTTTGCGCTTTGTGAGCTAAACATTGCAAAAAGGATAAACAAACAGAAAAACAAAGTGCTGCAATGGATCAGTCATGCTCCTATATCCTTGTGACGGCCTCATTTCTAGGGTTGAAATTGGCTAACAGCTGTATAAATAATCTGTTTAGGCAACAATAGCTGGAGAAAACACAAGCATGTGAGCCGTCTATATCTGGTAATTTAATACATCTCTTATTTAAAATCAACAGACCCTTCAGTCAAGAGAGCTAATGCAAACATGGAAGGTTTGTGATTGCACTTGACAGTAGTGTCCTGGAATTGATGGGGGCTTTTAGAGTTGGAGATCACCATGATGATGTAGGGTATATTCATGTTTGTGTGTGTATTTGGGTTAGGTGAACTTGCATATGAACCTTCTTTATTTTGGTTTGGGTTCACCAGGGCAGAGCCCTGACTATGGATTGAGAAGGGGCAAAGGGGGCCATCCTGCTGCGGGAAATGGTCCGGTGCTGCATGATACTGGCAAGCATTGATGAGCATGATACACTGCAAATTGAATGTCCAAGTTAGGTGGTTCTGTGGCAGTGGGGGCTGGCGATCTGATGGGCGGTGCCACTGGAGCTGAAGGAGATGTACAGTGGCGTAATGGTGGCAAGTTAGAGGAGGTGGCAGTGCTGGGTTGTGGCCACAGGATAATGGCAGCTGAGGTGGGATAAGGATTTTACAATTGACAAATGTGAGATGAGGATTCTTTGATGGAGACCTAGTCATTTAGAGTTTGAGTACTCTGTAATACAATGAAAAACTTCACTCAGATGCTCCCTGGACGCATTCGTGTCATATGCCTCTTTTATTGTTTATTCATTTGCACCTGGTTCCATCTTGAATGTGGTCTACTGCTAACTGAATTATAACACAATTGGATAACTGAACTGTCAAGGCAGGATGTTTTTCCACATAATTTGAACAATGCCAGTATTCTGCTTGTGGTGCATTTAATCATGTATGCTGCCTTTCAGAGCACTTTTTTCCAGTCGGTAGCGTAGCCTGGATTTGTAGCTGGGTGGTCCATTGCCTTGTTTAAAATAAAATTTAGCCGCTATAAATATAACATGTCGAAACACAAATATATGAACTACGAAACACAATCTGATTAAGCTAGAGGACATACGAACATCACAGAATAGATGAGTCTAGATTGATTAATGTACCATTGAAAGATTACATACCTATAATAGGTAAAGAACAGTCACAAGAGTCAGTGAACATATAACAACTAGATACAATTAGCATTAGAATGGATCAGACAGAAGTTGGGCACAGATTGACAGATACTCACCATTTTCTTTAGGTTTCAACCGTCCACTAGGAAGTTTGCAAAAATGTATTTCTGGTTTGCAGGAGCAGTTTGTGTGGGTGGTTGTGCTCTTGCACCTTTATAGGATAGCGTTTTCTTTTTTCAAATTAATAGTTCATTCATAGGCAATAGGCAAGCAGGTTGATTGGCTGAGGCATACCTGAGGGCTGAGTTCTCAGGGTGTGCTTCAACGCCTGACGCCTGCCGGGCGTGTGCAGCCGTTGCCTGTTGGGTGTGGACGAATACAAAGGAGCACAAATGGTCATACAGAGGAGCTAATAGGTCGCACGGAGCAACGAATAGGAAGGGGCGCAGGACGACTGGCTGCTGGGACCAGCCATGCTTATGAAGGTGGAAGCGGAAGCATCACGGTGGATTAGGAAACAGAATTGGAATTCCTAAATCCTATGAGCTTTTAGGACAGAGTGCAGGGTGGTCCATGGCCCACAGGAACCACCCTGTAGCCCTGTCCCTGTTTCCAGTATCAATCAAATATGCTTTCACTATAAAAAAAAGGGCAGACCCAGTGCCAGAGGCTCCCACATGAGTGGGGTCTGGGGAAGGGAAAAACCGAGGCAAGCCTCCCCCCCCCATAAAATCTGCGGAGAGGCTGCTTGAACCCGCGACCTGGTGACTCGGTGAGACAGCTCTCACCACCGCACCAGGCCTACCCTTCTAAATATGCTTTCACTATAGATGGACTATGGGCAAGTATCTAAAGTTTCTTATAAAAACATAGCAAATGAAGCAATTATGGCACATAAGTTTATGACATAGCTAATGCATTAACCGGCTAATTTTAAAACAAATGAGAGGTTCATATGTTGTAACATAACTGGTGTAGTGACCGATCGGTTTATAGACTGTCTTGTGTTTAACTGTTTGTCTAACTCTGAGATGAGAAGTTCAATTGGTTGCCATAAAAAAATTAACTTGATTGAATTCTATTTTTACGAAAGTTTTCTCACAGGTTTCATACTGTCTAGGTTTTATAATTGTTTGCAAAAGGGCTATAGTACTTGATGAGATGAAGTCAACAGTGTTTTCGGCAGTTGTTGTTTCTATTGGGTATGCATTGCTTGGATGGGATTTTGCAGCATTATTAGGTATTTTTTTCTTTGCTCTATTGATTGTAATTATACATTAATTACCTCCATTAGAGATCTCAACTATCTGACAGTCATACTAACCTTGATTTTTATTATCTGACAGAAGCTAATCATCATATGGAAAAAGAATTTGAATTGTTGAATGGACCTTCTATTGAAGGTATAACTTTAGCAGCCTCAACATTTGGGGCTATTGTGATAACAATATTCTCTGGAGCACTATTAGATTGGCTTGGAAGGCGTGCCATACTGGTTTACTCATCTCTGGTATTATTTTCGGGTGGTGTCCTGATGCTGTGGTCTCCTAACATCTACATTGTACTTCTAGCTAGGTTAATTGTTGGATTAGGAAGTGGGTTGGTTTTCACCTGTGTCCCTATTTATATATCAGAAACATCTCCTCCAAATATGAGGGGATTACTTGGAACTATGCCACAGTTTATGTTCTTCCTAGGAACTATCTTTTCATATTGCCTGATATTCTGGTTAACACTAATGTCTTCACCTAACTGGAGAATCATGATTGGTGCAATCTCTGCTCCTTCCATTGTCTACTTTGCTTTGTTGGTTACTACTTGCCAGAGTCACCTAGGTGGCTTGCAAGTGATGGAAAGATTAGTGAGGCCAGAGTTTCTCTGCAGTGGCTTAGAGGGAAGAAACATGATGTTTCAGGTGAGATTGTTGACCCTTGACAATGCTTCCAGATTTATTCATCTGAAGATAGTCTGGTCTTGATTAGTAGGGAACTGAGTAAATAAATGTAGTTATTGTGGGGACTTGAGAAATGTAAAGTTGTAACCAATGTCTGACAGCATGATCATACAAACTAAAATTGCAGTTTTGGAAATATTACTGTTATCAGTTGAATTGCGGGATCATGAACTTGATTTTTCTGGCATTTAATGGGTGATGGTGCTGTTCCGTCCACCTCCTTCTTTGTCAGGTGTTCATGCAGTCAGAACTATGAGAAATGAAGATACATGATCTTTTGATTTCAGCTTGTCATTGGAGGTGCTAATTGAACCTCTTACATTACAAAAAGCCTCCTAACATAGAAGATACTAATAGAACTATGTACTCCTTCCACCCCAAATTATAAGACACTTGGCTTTTCTAGATATATTACTTTTACTATGTATCTAGACATAGTGTATATCTAGGTGCATAACAAAAGTTATGTATCTAAAAAAGCCAAAACGTCTTATAATTTAGAATGGAGGAGTAAGTAATATAGTAGCCTAGTAATACATGACTTCATATTAAAGAACTGAATGGGAACTAATTCAGTCCTCTTATTCATGTCCTAGAACTTTTATGCTGTAAAATTGTAAACATAAGCAGCATTTGACATTACATACTTAACATAGAGATTGAACAATCGGATGAGGGTTTTGTTTTACAGTTAAAGGCTGTGAGACAATGCTGATAAAGTACCGACAATAATATGTCAATATGATTGGGGTTGATGGTGCTTTTAATTACACATGATGCATTAGCAGACTGTCTTGTTTTGATAAATCGAGCCAATCACTTGGTCATTTCTATTTTTGTCGAAAATAAAGAAGCATAAATGTATCATGACATCACATAGACCTGCAGGAGAGATAGCTGTTATTGTGGAAGGTGTGGACATCATATCGGACTCCGCTGTTGGCACTGCTCGTGCTCAAAGTTTCTCTGGAACCAGTGCTAGCCACACTTGGCCCCCGTAGTACTTTTTACTGGCTGCTTTCGGACCCACTAGTTGATTTTCTCGGAAGCATTCATGAGAATATGTCAGAAGGAGGAAGTAGACGGAATAGTTTCTTCCCAGTCTTCAACAGTTTTTCTTTTTCCAGAACATGAACATATGAATGAGCACAGGGATGGTAACAGTGATCAACAGACTAGGGTGGCTTATTCTGCTGGAGAAGTGAACAATGGAGATGGTTTGCGGGCTTCTCTGCTTTCTCAGGCAGCAAATGTTGAAGTAAATGATACAAATACCTCTTTTACTTCTGAAGGAGCTCTTCATATTTAAGAAGGCATGGAACATCAGTACTTGCGCAAGAGTTTTATGGCGTCTATACATGATTATGACATTGAAGAAGAAGAAGAAATACATGGGTTCAGATCGCCTCACCAGTCTGCACCTCGTGATATGGAAAGCACAGGGCGACATCCATTCAGACATCAAATAGTCCGCTATCTGAAACAGCTGATATGAAGTTTAAATGGCGGGTGCTTCTTCAACCAGGAATCAGGCATGCCTTGTGTTATGGCATGTTAATTCAAGCCCTTCAGCAGGTATGATTCTGTGTTATTGTTGATTTTATATTCAGTTCAGCATGGAGTTCAGTTTACAATCGTTCTGCACTGGCTACCATATATATATATATATATATATATATATATATATATATATATATATATATATAATGCTAGTTAGTCTGTTGACGTTTTTTTTTTGCTTGTTTCTTGTTTGCTTTTCTCAAAAATACAGTCTACAGGAATCAGTGGTCTTCTCCGCTGTGCTCCTGAAATACTTGAACAGGTTGGAGTCAGCTTGTTTTCAGACATTGGACATTCTCCACATTCAACATCAATTCTCATAAGTACCCTTCATGCTTTGCTGATACTCCCTTGTATAACTGCCGCAATGCTGCTGATGGATGTCTGCGGAAGAAGGTAAACTCTGAGACACCATCAACATTACAATTTCAAAATAATGTCGATTTACAATTAGTAGAAATGCATCCACATGACCAAGAGAAAAAGGTCTGTTCATAGATACATCATCTGGTCTCATTATATAGCCTTTTGATGCCTCACCAGCAGCATTAGATGTTGTACCATTTCTGAACCTCCAATACTCCTCTGACATTGTATAATTGTGATTCCACACTCTGCTTCTTAGGTTCATTTGCATTGGGTATCCTAAAAAAAAAATCCCTTGCCAACATTATCTACCAACATTTCGCTTTGCGGCTTATTCAGCAACAAGTTTGTCATGTAGTGATCATGATTTTGAAGTAAATATTCATTTTAGTTAATTCTTCTTTACATGTTTGTTCCTGTTCCTGATAGAAACTACTTATTAATACAACTCAACATTTTTTTTTGTAGGGTTCTTGTGTTGGCCACTACTCCTATCCTGATATTATCATTGAGCGTTATGTCTATGTCCACCCTGGTGAATATGGGATCATTCGAGCGTACCATCCTCTTCCACTTTGCATTAACCATTTGCTTCTGCTCCTATGTCGTTGGTTTGGGACCAATACCTAACCTTCTCTGCTCTGAGATATTCCCAACCAAGGCCCGTGCGACCTGTGTAAGTTTCTGTTCGCTTTCCTTCTGGTTTGGGGGCCTGCTTTCAGCGTACTGCTTCCCGGTGATGATGAGCACCATCGGGCTTGGCGGAGCATGCGGGATCTATGCACTTGTGTGCTGCGCTCCACTTTTTCTGTTCTACTATCGAATACCAGAGACGAAGATGCTTAACCTGGAGCTCATTGCAGAGCTATTCAAGCTTTCAAGGCAGGAGTATGTACACTAGATTGTCCTGGACTCAAGGTAGCCGAGGCTGATGATGTGTGTACATATGACAAATGTAGCTTTGAATGTTGAATTTTTTTTGCTAGTTAGGAGGATTGGTGATAGTTTATGAAGTTGTTTACTCTTTTCTTGTACATAGATTGGTAGCAGTGTTTGTAGTGTTTTGTTTTGTTGTCTTGATGTACAACAATAAATTCTTGAGAACAAGATTCATTTCTAAGAGCGAAATAATATTGCTGCAGAGTTACCAATGGTTCTTCTAAGAATATATAATTCCTAATAAATAAAGGTAAACATCCCTTCCTCAGGTGAACTGTTAGATCTGCATTTTGATTTGTAGCATGTTGTATTCATGCAATGCAGCAATGAACATGAAGCTGTTTCAGTCTTACTAATTTAGTCCTTGCTTATTTTGCGCCCTAACTATATTTAGTCCTGTCTACAAAACCAGGAATCATTTTTACCTGTCAGGGAGAAAAGCGAGGTTTTGCCGTTTAGGCCATCCTCTGCTGTAATCCAACCTTTGTCCCATTGCGTTCCACATCTGCTCTCATTTCTGAAAGAAGCTGAAACACCTCTGCTGTTTGCATCGCATCGTCTTCTCCGTTGGTGGCTTGCCGTCTCAGCTGTGGGGCTTCTCCGTTGGTGGCTTGCCGTCTCAGCTGTGGGGCACCCTATTTTTGGGTCCCAGTCCCAGATCCGCCTGCGCAACCACTGGAGCAGCAGAAGAGGCGTTGACAAAAACCAGGGCGAAGCAGCGCCACGAAAGGCAGGCAGGGGGACAGGGAAGGGATCATCCGTCGTCCGAGAAGAGAGCTGGAAGAAAGCTAGAGGACAGGCTCTGACCACCACCACACCCGGTCATGGTCACCCTCCTCGCCTTCCGGCTCCCACCTCTCTTCCTCCTCCTCCTTGCCACCACTGACGCTGCCGCTGCCGCTGCCGACAATGGCAACGTGTCGGAGGCAGGGGCGGCGCTCGTAAATCTCAAGAAGTCGTTCACAGACCCGACCGGCAGGCTGGAGGCGTGGTCGGCGACGTCGCCGTTTCCGCCGTGCGACGCCGCGAGTCCCTGGGCCGGGGTGCAGTGCTACAAGGGCAGCCTCGTGGGCATCCGGCTCACGCACATGAACCTGTCCGGCACGTTCGACTTCGGCGCCATCGCCAAGCTCCCGCGGCTCCACTCCGTGAACCTCAAGCACAACGCGCTCTCCGGCCCGCTGCCGGCGAGCCTCGGCACCCTGCGCGGCCTCCGCGCGCTGTACCTCTCCTCCAACAACTTCTCCGGGCCGATCCCCGCCGACGTGTTCGCCAACATGCGGTGGCTCAAGAAGCTCTACCTCGACAACAACCGCATCACGGGCCCGCTGCCCGCCGACGCGATCGCCAACGCGCCGCGCCTCATCGAGCTCCACCTCGACCGCAACCAGATCGACGGGCCGATTCCGTTCAGGCTGCCGGAGTCGCTCAAGCGGTTCAACGTGTCCCACAACCGCCTCAGCGGCTCCATCCCGCAGAGCGTCGCGGAGCGCTACGAGGCGTCGTCGTTCGCCGGGAACCCCGGGCTGTGCGGCTCGCCGGGCAGCGACGCCGCGGTGTGCGTGGCCGCCTGGCCCGCGCTCCCGCCCGCGATGCCGCCGCCCACGGCGGCCGACTACATGGCCATGGAGAAGGATACCAGCGTGTTCGTCGTCATCGGCATCATCCTGCTCGTCATCCTGCTCGTCACCGGCGCCATGGTGCTCATGCTGCGGCAGGACGAGAGGAACAGCGCCGCGCCGGCGTGGGACTACTACGCCGGCAGGGCGGGCGCCGCCGGTGCCGGCGCAGGCGCAGGCGCCAGCTCCACCAAGTCCGCGGCGGCGCCGCGCGCCGGGGAGATGGTGGCCGTGGACGTGGCCGGCGGCGGGTCGTCCAGCCACGGCGGCAGCAGCGGCCGGCGGATGGGCGAGTTCGTCCTCCTGAACGAGGACATCCCCGCGTTCGGCCTGCCGGACCTGATGAAGGCCTCCGCCGAGGTGCTGGGCAACGGCACCCTGGGGTCGGCGTACAAGGCCGCCATGCGCAACGGCGTCACCGTGGCCGTGAAGCGCCTCCGCGACATGAACCGCGTCGGGCGCGAGGAGTTCGAGCAGCACGTGCACATGCTCGGCGACCTCCACCACCCCAACGTGCTCCCGCCCGTCGGCTACCATTACCGCAAGGAGGAGAAGCTCATCGTCTTCGAGTACATGCCCCGCGGCAGCCTCCTCTACATCCTGCATGGTTGGTTAATTAACGCAGCTAATTAATCAATCAATCGTGATTAGAAGCTGCCTAATTAATCACGTGACTAATCATCAACTGTAATAACGACTGGCAGGCGACCAGAGTCCGAACAGGCTGATCCTGGACTGGCAGGGCCGGCTGAGGGTCGCCGTCGGCGTGGTGCGCGGGTTGGCGTTCCTCCACGAGAGGCTTGGGATCCCGGCGGGGCGGCTGGTGAGCATGGACGGCGCGGACTTCGACGCGCCGCCGCCGCCGCCGCCGCACGGGAACCTCAAGTCGGGCAACATCCTCCTGGACGCGGAGATGGAGCCCCGGCTGGTGGACTACGGCTTCTTCCCGCTGGTGAACGCGGCGCAGGCGCCGCAGGCCATGTTCGCGTTCCGGTCGCCCGAGGGCACCACGCGCGGGGTCGTGTCGGCGCGCTCCGACGTCTACTGCCTCGGCGTCGTGCTGCTGGAGCTCGTCACGGGGCGGTTCCCGTCGCAGTACCTCCTCAGCTCGCGCGGCGGCACCGACGTCGTGCACTGGGCGGCCACGGCCGTGGCGGAGGGCGGCGAGCAGGAGCTCGTTGACCCCGGCATCGCCGCGGCCGGCGGGGACGCCGCCGTCAGGTTGCTCCGGGTCGGCGTGCACTGCGCCAGCCCCGAGCCCGAGTGCCGGCCCAGTGTCGCGGAGGCCGCGTGGATGGTGGAGGAGATCGGCGGCGGCGGCGGCGCGTCGTGATCACGAACGCACGCACGCACGTCGTCGCTGCATCGGAGTGGCACGTCACGCACAGGTGGAGTGGAGTGGAAGGACATGCATGCATGTGGAGGAGCTCGGTCGTCAGATCCTGGCCGTTGATCACAGATGACGCATGGGTATGGTTGCGCCGCGTGTACATTACTGTTGTGGTCTGAATTTGTAAAGGAAATGGGCAAAAAATGAAAGAGGGAGACGAGGATAGCTCGGTGTATGCATGCCAATTTGAAAAAACCTAGGGGCTTCTAGAGGAGGAGAGCATTTACGACCATACTTTATCAAGATTAAAGATCATCTGTTCTATTGTGTGCATGTCAAAAGCATTGTCTTAGGATGTTATGGGTTAGTTGTAATTAAGGGTACATGTATTTTAGCTTTTGAAATTGGTGTGTTATTTTGAGTAATTTTCACAAGCCACTCTATCTTTAGTAAAATCACAACTAAAGCACACACTTAAGCAATAGTTTAGCTGCGCTCTTCTTTGCCTAATGTACATCATTTTTTGGCTGATTTAAAGAAAAAAATCAAGCAGAACCTTTTATTCATAAAATTTCTTAGGCTAGTCCCAGTAAAATGAGGACCCGAGTGTGACATTTTTTTTTCGAAATCGTGCATAGCACGTGCTTCATTAAGGGGAGATAGATGTTTTAGTACATCTCCCCAACGACGGCGAGGTGCCGCGTTTTGTACGAGGAACACACAACACAAATCACCGGCTTGAACGGTGCTGCCACTACTTTGTACTAACTAAGTAAACTTCCTTTTGCGACAAGCAGATATATAGCGAGGTTAAACCCCTATGGCGCGAACAGCGGTGCAAGCAAACGGAATCCCGCACTGACCCACTCGGCTCCCTCTTGTTGTATCCCTTGCATCACCTGTGCAACTGATGAAGGTGCTCCACCGAAGGTCCTCCGACTCCGCTCCTTCCAAGTCTCCCATGAGACAAGCAGCACCAAAGAATCAAGCCACCAGTTCACCAAATCAGCATCACCGTTTGGGCAGAGGAACTGGAACCCAACCCTTTGGAGCAGTCGACGCCACAGCTCTCTGGTGAACACACAAGCAGCGAACAGATGATCAGCCGTTTTCGGGCTCCTGTGAACACAGCCACGCAGTCGTCGTTTGCTTGCAGCCCATGGCGTTGTCTCCTCGCCGCTGTCCAGAGTCGCCTGTGGAGAGCGAGCCAAAAGAAAATTTTGACCTTTGGTGGCGCGGCCGTCACCCAGAGCTCGGCTGCCCCAATCATTTGGACACGTCCATGGAAGAAGGCGCGATACGCCGAAGAACTGGAGTATACGCCATCAGTCGTCAAGTTCTAGACCAACTTGTCGGGGACGTCCTGCTGTAGCTGGGTGCCATCCACCATTTCCCACACCCGTAGGAATTGGGTGATGAATGTGGCCGACGTCGCACCGGAGACATCTCTCGTCCACTGCCTGTTGGCTAGAGCATCGCGGACGCAGCGGCGACGTCGTCGGCTGGGCACAGACACAAACACAACCGGTGCCCAGTGACATATTGGACCAGCAGGGAGCCAGTCATCGGTCCAGAATCTTGCGGTTGCTCCGTCGCCCAGGATGATTGAGGTGGCGGCGTTGAACATGTGGGCGACACAGTGCTCCGCCGTCGCCGGCAACAACGCCCAAGCCAAGTCTGGTCGCGTGTATCGTAGCCACTCCCATCTCAATCTGAGAGCGTAGCCGAGTATCCCGAGGTCCGCCGTCCGAGGCCACCAAGGTCCCCAGGAGCACATACCACGCCCGGCGACTTTACATTTCCCACCGGCGACCGTAGTGCTCCTCGCCCATATGAAAGCTCGCTTCGCACTTGTCAATGGCAGCGATTGCCCATGCCGACAAGGTGCAGCAAATAGCGACATGGACCGGGATTGCCGATAGCGTCGTCTTTGTCGGTAGCCCTCCCGCCGCATTGAGAAGCCCCGCTTCCATGTGGGGATGCGCGCCATGACGCCATCAACGACGGGCCCGC